TGTTGTCGGACCCTGGTCTGAGCCGGCCTGATGCTACGTTATCATTAGCCAGTCTGCATCCGCGGGCGTGACTTAGCGAAGGGTCAATTGTCTGTTACGTTGCAGCTGGAGCGCTCTCTGTCAACACTGGACCAATTTCAAAAGCTGTTGTTCCCATTAGTCACGTAGACACGAGGACGTGAAAAACAGGGTCCAAGGTCGAAAATACTGAAGTTTCCCTTTAACTGTGTAGTTACTTGGACCCAACCACAACATTTCGTTGTGTGTCGTTCAAAAGGGCAGTTACAAACAAGTAGCTTGATATTTAATTTGAAGGACTTGTTGATTCTTTTACAAGCCTGTGTTAGAGTAACATGACTGACTGACAGCAGCAGCACTGTATGATTTAACAGTCTTTCATCTTAGTGACTGAAAACATATTTGACCAGGTAATCTTTGTGGAAACTGCAGCAGCGCCTTGCTCTTTACTTTCAACCCCTGCTGCCCAAAGCGGTGTGTCATTTTTTTTTTAGTTTGCGTAACCCCACAAAGACAGACACGTGTTGCTAATCCGACAGCCGTCCTTTGCGAAGCAAGACAAGAGCCGCCGCAGTGTGAGTGACAAGGAATCTCTCATTGTGCAAAGTCTTTGTGACAGGCAACTCCTCCTCACAGCTCAGCCACAGCGAGACTGCACTGTTTGCCAAAGGAGACCGCATTCTTTTCCGGGAACCCACGGGTTGACACAAGTTCACGGGGAAAACTAGTAGTTTGAGGTCAACACCTTTTGTGCAGAGGTATTTTTTCATCCCGCTCAGAGGGCCGGCTAGAATTAGAGGCATTTTTTTAACGCTCTTGAGCGATTTGACCTCTCGTTTTTCAGACGTGCTGTGGTGCATTCGATTGACACAGCTGCTGTGTGTGGGGTGACAGGTGATGCGGAGTTGAAAAGCATTTTCCAGACCCCTCCTTTTTCCCTTTTCACCTCCTGGTTCCACCTGTCTCTTTATGTAAACCACCGCTCTCTATCTGAAGCCTCATCTCAGGCTATATTCAAATGAATTGAACTCCGCACCTTTTCTCTCTCTCTCTGCCCTCAGTCTCCCTTTTCTCAACTTATCACCTCACACTCTCCCTCTCCACCTTATCTAGCCATTTCACCCTTTTACCTCATTTTTCCCCTCACACGTGGCCCCCACCCTTTGCATTCCCACTGCCTCTTCCCCCCCCGCCCCCATCTCTCTCTGTGTAACAGTAGATGGAGTTATTAGTCAGACAGTGGGGATGACTGAACAGGTGTTTTCCAAATGGGCCTTTGAGCACTCGCCGCATCATCATCGCTCCACAGGGGGGGTTGGGTGTTTGTGCGTGTGTGTACGAGAGCTTGGCCTCTGCGTGCCCTTTTCGCCTCAGGCTGAGCCATTTGCCAGTAGAGGAAGGAGGAGGAATGGGAGGAGGAGGAGGGGGCATGTTACCGTATGTATTCATGTGTGTTGCGTGCATGTGTGTATGTGTGCAGCATGTGGGTGCATTACATGTGTAGGTGTGAAGAAGTGTTATATCTTTACCAGCTGCTGCTTGTCATTACTCATTGATGCACAACAGCAGTGCAGAATGGCCTTGGCCTGGCCACTTTCCACCGCTTGGCTGAAAAGATGAGCGCTGACATATTTAGGAGTCGGAGAAATGTTCCCGTCTCCACACTTTTTCGCCCCTTTGACCCCATTCTGCAACCCCCCCCCCCCCGACCTGACACATTTGACATGCCCAATTTCACTCTTTCTTTTCTGTCTTCGTCTCCTCTCCCTTGTGTTTCTCTTGCAGGCTTTTAGGTTTAACTTTGCTTTACATGCGGGCTGCGCACAGGATGTAAACCAGGTTTCAGCGCGTAGCAGGCCTCCTAAATCACAAAAGCACAATAACAACCTGATGACAGATATTTACTGTCTGTTGAAAGTTGGACTGAGATGACGACATACGCAAAAACAAATATTTATGAGCTAAAATTCCAGATTCACGCGGCTGAATTCTCATCTTCTCCTGTCTTGTTTTCCACCAGCTGTACAACGAGGACGTACATCGAACTCCCAGAGCAGCCCGGGACAGTACCTGACCAACGGCACCGACCCGTACAACGGCCAGCCCTATCTGTCCGGCTTCATTTCTCTGCTGCTGCGCGCTGAGCCCTACCCCACATCCCGCTACGGCGCCCAGTGCATGCAGGGAAACAACCTGATGGGCATCGAGAACATTTGCGAGCTGGCGGCGAGGCTGCTCTTCAGCGCTGTAGAGTGGGCCAAGAACATCCCCTTCTTCCCTGATCTGCAGCTCATGGATCAGGTGAGTCGAACACCCTGATGACTGACGAGAGTTTACATTTAAATATCCAACCAGCAGCGTTAAAGGAATAGTTTGACATTTTGAGTCTGATGAGAAGATTGAAACCACTCTTATGTCCGTGCAGTCAGTAGAGGGGCGTTTGGGAGGCGCATCAGACTCTTAATTTCCTGCATTCTGGTGATTTCTTTATGCACAAATTTGAGCATTTTCTGCAGCAATTTAGGGTGTAAACGCCTTTAGTCACGTCAAAATGAAAGGCCTCTGCTGCTTTCATGTATTTATTTTGTGGGGAAGGCGACAGTTGCACGTGTTCTAAATATTAAGGAGGACGTACCCCCTGCTTTTCTCCTGAAATCTACACCTATGGTACTGTAGATATGAAGCTACGGCTAGCAGCAAGTTAGCCTACCTTAGCATAAATACGAGAAACAGGTAGAAGCAGCTTACCTGGCTCTGTCTAAAGGAAACAAATCCCCTTACCGACACTTCAGAAGCTCACTAACTGTAACGTTATACCTCATTTCTTTGATATGTGATAAATCAAAGTGTAAAAATCACGAGTCCCCAGGATGTTACTGTACCTGGCGTCCTCAGAGACAGAGGCAGGCCAGGTGTTTCCACACGTTTCCAGTCTTTGTGCTAAGCTACGCTAGCTTCATATTTAGCATACAGACACGAGAGTGGTATCAATTCTATCATCTAACTCTCTGGAAGAAAACGAACAAGTGTATTTTGTAAAATGTTGAATTGGTCCTTCCATAAAGCTCGCAGAGACACACACACACACACACACACACACACAGTCATGCACAGGTGGCTGAGGCTACCATTCAAGGTACTACTCATTTTTTTAAACACTCATACTCGGAGTGAACAGCCATCGGGAGCAATTCGGGCTTCGGTATCTTGCTCAAGGATACCTCGACATGCAGACTTGGAGGAGCCGGGGACAGAACCACTGATCCTTTCGATTAGTGGACGACCCACTTTACCTCTGAGCCACAGTCGGGTCAGGGTCACAAGTATAGGGTCAGTGAAAAGTTTTGATGCCACAAACATCATTAAATTCTCTTATTCCACCAAATAAAAACAACAACAAAAAACACAGTTTCATGAAGTATTATCAACATACAGATTCTTGAGCCTATAAATAATTTACCTTTTTCTTCTTCTCCTTATTTGTGATCATCACTCAGTGGCATATAAAAAGAAATCTGCTCAGTTGTTCATCAAAGGCAGAAACATGTGGACATGTAGATTTATACCAGCTGTAAAGTCTTGGCACGGAGAGAAACCGCCTGACCTATAAATATTCACATGCACCTTGGGCAGACACAGTCACATCACAGATATGTCATGCTATAACTGCACCATATCATTAATATATCATTAACGTCATGTCAAAGTGTAGAAGAGATCCGTCCTGTCGCTCTCAGTGAGCGCTTTAATATTGTACCACTGTGTCTCTGCTTTCTATAAACCTACTTTCTATTGTAGCCTGCTATCAAAAGACTGTTTACACCTGGCGTCAACATGTGTTTTATAACCTTTTTTTCAGATATGAATTGATTATCTAAGGTGGATAAGATAAGATATAAGTTATAACTAGTAGTAAATACCCATGCACCATGCACAGCGACTGCAGGCAGGTTTAATGGTGGTTCTTCTCAAAACCTTCAGACAATTTAACATTTTCTTGACCTATGATCTGTAATCTACACAAATGATTTCCGCTTTGTAGCTGTGACATTTTCAGCTGTGATCACATCAAAGTTTAACTCCTTCTCCAGCAGTTTTTTTGACATTATTCAGTCAGCCCATACCACATGTATCATGATTATTTCATATACATATTAAATGTGTATCTCTCTTCTTACAGCTTGTCACATCCTCTTGTCATCTCTATGACCTTTAACACTGACAATAAACTGTTCATCATGTTTAAGTTGTCTTTACGCTCAGATTCTGATGGTTAGTCATCTCTGCGAGCTTCATGCAGCATGCCTGGTTTGCGTGTGTTTCCTTCTTCCTTTAATGAATGAATATATGACTTGTTGGGAAAAATTTGTGCATGAATGGAGCTCCTGTGCTCTCTCTAGTTTGCATTTCCTCTTAGATAATGTGACCAAATTCTGGCCATCCCCAAAGGCGGTTTGGATTATTGTGTTTAGTGCATCTCGTGTCCCTTTGTGCTCAGAATTAAAATGTGTTTGTGCTAGTTAAGTGCAGTTTGACTCATGTGGATGATAGGTGGAAATGGAGTCTAAAGCCTGCTGTACTGGAACTAGAGGCTGTGACATATTTCAACATCATACCTTAGATAGATTTTAGTTGATTTGACCCACCTTCAGTATTTGGAATCAATTCTTTGTCTCCATTAGCTTCTTAATAATTACCTTCCTGTGCTAACCACTCTGTAACTACCTGTATTCTAGGTGGCGCTGTTGCGTATGTCATGGAGCGAGCTCTTCGTCCTCAACGCCGCCCAGTGCTCCATGCCGCTCCATGTGGCCCCTCTGTTGGCAGCGGCAGGCCTGCACGCGTCGCCCATGTCAGCAGAGCGTGTGGTGGCCTTCATGGACCACATCCGCGTCTTCCAGGAGCAGGTGGAGAAGCTGAAGGCCCTGCAGGTGGACACGGCTGAGTATTCCTGCCTCAAGTCCATCGTGCTCTTCACGTCCGGTGAGTCTGAATGAAGCACATGTGTCATATAAACAGCAAAGAGTCACAGGGAAATGCTGCATAACGTTGAAACAGGATGTTGAAGCAGGGTTTAAATATGGTGGGTGGCTGCAGAGTGGACAATCAAAAGTTTTAAAATTATTACAAATGAATGACCCAAAAATGTCAAAGCTATGGTATTAGTTATGGTTTGGGATTTTGGTGCAAGCCTACTGATGCGGGTTGCAACACATTCTCACTCCCAACTCATCAAATACCGACGCTTAGACAGGGGTCCTACACCTGCATCAGTCTCTGATGCTCAGGGACAACGTGTCAGTTTACGCCTCTTACGTGGATTGTGTCTTTTTAAAATATATTTCCGTTTTCACAGGAAATGTACAATTTTTGTTCGCTAAATGCACACAGTGTCTTTTTATAATAAATGTAGAACAGAGTAGGATTGCAACTCACTCAAAAGATTTTCACCGTACGATACCTGTCTCAGAAAATATCGTGGTTACACGGTGTGACGGCATCACACAATTTATGTTATTATCAGTCATGATGACCCTTAAAGGAATGAAAACGGAGGGGTTATTGTGTTTGAACAAACATTTTATTACTATAATTGACTATAATTGAAAGTTGAAACCATTTTGTTAATGGAAGTATGTGTAGAAACTCTTCCCTAAGAAAATAACAAAAAAAAAGAAGTGAAGTCAACGTCCAGTTGCATATTTTTCCAATGTCATAGATAAGCAAATGTACATAGTATGATAGCCGTCATGTTTATATCATGGTATACCTTGAAACCGGTTTATCGCTACAACCCTAGAATGGAGGGAAAAACTTGTTTTTTAGGGTTACTTACTTTGGTTTATACAGAAGTGTATTGCATTTACTTGACAAATAAAAAACAAATCTGTTTTACTGAGTAATTTTTTCTGTTTTTCGGAGTCATTTTTTTTATTTTTCAGTTTTTCGGTGTATTTTTTTCTGGGGTTTTTTTTGTGGTAATTTTTTTTCTGTTTTTTTTTTTTACGGTAATTTTGTTTCTGTTTTTCGGGGTAATTTTTTCTGTTTTTCTGTGTATTTTTTTTCTGAGTTAAGAGAGCAGTAGAACAACAGATGCTTTCATTCCTTTCTTGAGAGCTCGATATAGGCACCGGTCACTTGCAGGTGCCGGATGGGAGCTTCATGCTTCTTGCTTGCTTCTTACACAAACTAGCACACTATGTTGTTATTAAAATAACTTAGTTGACTTTTTGTTTCACAAGGGATCCGAACAGCAGTCTCCTGGGTGAAAATTTGGAGTTTATTTAACCCATTCATCTCCCCTTCCACCCACCCAATACTTTCTCGCTCTTTATACTGCAGTTTTGAAGTGTCAAAAAAGGCCACCACCTGGTGTGTCTTAAACAGCAGCTAGAGGATTCCTCTGTGTGTGGGTATCTGACGCCAAAGGCCACAGACCAAATGTCGGTATTTGACGAGTTGGGAGTGAGACTACGTTGACTCAAATCCCAATTTTTACTTTTTCAAACCAAGCAAACTGATCCAGGCTCCAAATTGTCAAATGTTTCTCTTTCTAAAGACAATGGCCACATTTTCATGTTTACTCATGTAAACGTTTCATGGATTGACACATTAAGAGGTCGTGTGTTAGATCAGTCACGTCAAGTTTAATATCACAATATCATAATATTCTTTAAAGTCCCACACTGGCTTTAATTCCTGGCTCAAGCTCTCTGCGAAATATGTGAAAAAACTTGGACATTGAAAAAGGACATTTAAAGAGAGAAATCCTTCCAGGAAGTTGAGGACACAAATTATAATATTATATTAACAAATTATATAAACAGGCAGCTGTAAGAGCTCATAGTAAAATAAAGTATAAGTATAGCATTAGATTTTAGTGTAATAGATTAAATAAAAGTCCAAAGAAACATTTATTTGTTGAGACTGACAGGAAACACTCCTTTTACTTGATCTTTCACCTCGGCACAACCTCAGACTCACACAGGATTATGGGTAGATTCTGATGTGAACAATAACATCACCTCTCTCCTGTGAGCAACTTTACTATTGCTCGGGCAGAGGAGGAAGGAATTAGCAGGCGGGTGAGCCGACTTCCGCTGGCACAGTAACATTCTGTTAATTGGTTTATTCGTGTTGACGGACACGTAATCGCAGGGTATCAAAGCACATGTAAACAGCTTAACCTGGGTTAGAGAAATGGCCAAGATGAGTGTTATTCAGTGCATTCAAGACAGAGCCCAGCTCAACTCCTGCAGATAAGGACAGGGCAGATAATGATCATGTTTATTTATCAGGGTGAGATAAAACCAGTGAATTAAAAAATGTTTATGTAAAAGATATTACCATTAAAGGAATTAAAAAGCACACAGCTTAAACAATCGTAATTTAATAAGTTTACTTGAAAACAGTCCATCAGCCTGAAATATATCAAACGCTGGTGAATCGTCTCCTCAAGTATTAAATAAATAAATAAAAATATATATAATAACAATCTCTGGGCCAGTGATTTAGGGCTAACTAACTTACTTGCTTACTCCTTCTTTCGTCAAGCGCAGCTGGTTGCTAGGTGACAGTAATTGGTCAGGGTAAGAACAACTGGTGATGCAACCAGGAAATGCTCCTCCTTCAGAGTTCATTGTTCAGGAGGTTTTTACCAGGAGCCGAATTAACCACAAAGGTCTCCTCCTCTGAAACAAACAGACCAGGTGATTTAAAAAGGTAGAAACACTGACTAAAGCAGTTTCACGTTACAAATCAGTGTTTCACTGATGCCGTTCTGCTTGTCCGAGGCGGGACGCTAGCCGAACACCTGCTAATATGTGCTCAGCTTTTTCCTCTGATAACTTAAGATCAAGACATTCAGGAGGTTTTTAGAGGGAGCCGAATTATCCACATAGGTCTCTTCTTCTCCAAAGAAAATTTATCTGGTGATTTAAGCTGATAAAACTCCAAATAAAGCAGTTTCTTGTTAAAGTCTGTGTTTTTCTGACACTGTTCTGCTCTTCGGAGAGAGGCTGCTAACACAAATGGCCCTATCTAGAGCCAGTGTTTGGTTTGTCCATTCTGGGCTACTGTAGAAACATGGCGGTGCAACCTGCCAGACTCCACAGATGAGAACCGGCTTCCTATGTAGATATAAACTGCTCATTCTAAGGTAACGAAAACGCGACAGTTCTTATTTTCAGGTGATTATACACTAAAGGAAACATACTTATTATATTATATTCCATTTCTACCAATACATCCCCCTAAGTCCTACACCCTGGACCTTTAATATTGTATCATTCTGTGCACATGAACTGTTGAAGAAGAAGATGAAGAGTAAGCGAGTGTCTCTTAAAATGTTGATTAAAGATAAATTAAGGTTTCAGTGCAAATATTTGATTTTAAATCTATCTATTTAAAACATAATGAGCTTTTTCATAACTGACACTTATGACCAAAAAAGCCATTTAACACACAGATGCAGCCACTAACGTATTCATGTCTAAAAAGCTGGCTAACAGCAGCATTATTAGTCAAGAGGTCCTGAAAACATTCATTTCTGTCTGTTATGAAAGAGTCAACCACAACACGACTGTAAATTTCGACCATAACTTGTCGATTTAACCGCAGAATAAAAACTTCTCAGTGCCAAACAACATCTCCCTCCTCTGCTCTGTTGGAATCCCGTTTTTCGCATGAAGCGCCAACTTCAGCTCGCAACCTTTTCACCTCCGCTGAGCCTGACCGCGACGTGACCTCTAATGCTGCAGCAGATATTGTCTCATTGGCTCCATATGTAAATGCTGCCGTTACAGTTCTCCCACCAGTCAGTCATGGTCTCTGCCCTCCATGAATTTCACTGTAATTTGATCGCTCTCTCATACAGCAAAAGACCGCTATTGACCCTGTGAGTAGCTGCTTGTGACTCACTTAAATCCTCCCCTTCTCTTTTTTTGGCTTTTTGAGTGCTCCTCTGCTAAGCTGTATTTTGGTTTCTGCCCATGTAATAGATTGTATGTTTTGTGAGAAGGACTGAGAGACAAGTAAATTACTTAGTTTTGATAGAGAAAGAAAATATGAGCCCACCAAGCCACATGTTTCTTAATAAAAAGGAAGCCAGCAGCTATGATCTGCTAACAAAGCATCCTTGTGACATTTAGTTAACCTTGCCCAGTAATTTAATTTTCGTACCTGAATTAAACCGCTCCAAATTGGATTTAATGACAAAGAAAATGTCTATTTATAGCTGTTTTTATCCAGAGGTCTTCAGAGAAAACAGCAGACTTGAGCCTCACGACCCTCACTGTGCTGCATTATTCTCCCCACTGAGCTGCAGACGAGATTAAATCAAAATACAGTGGTGTTGCATCTTGAGGAAACCCATGAGATAGGCATTGTTTTGATCCTGCTTATATACAAACCCTGTTGAGGTTTATCCCAACAGTCACTGGGCTCCAGTGCCAGCCAAAATACTGTCACATCTGGGATACTTCACCAAGAGATCATGCTTTGTGACCCAGGGGGAAACGGATGGTGAAGAAGCCAACACCGAGATGTCCCTCGTCCCTGTTTTTTTATTGCATTTTCCCTCTTTTCTCCCGTGCATGGCTTGTCAGATTCACTCTGCGTGTACCGAGCATCTCTCCTCCATGTATGTAGGTGGCAGTGGATCCACCTTTCCTCTCTCTTCCTTGCTTTCATCCGCCATCTCTCCTTCATGATCCCATCTATTATTAAAACCAGTCATCCACCCCTCCTCCCTGCGCTCCCCAAACCCAACCCCGAGCCCAGCCCAGGCCCCGGGACCCCTGCCCCCACCACAGGAGTTGAATTATGTATGTTGGGTTTCAGTGAGACGGAGGATACGCAACAGCCCCGGCCATGACCTACATAACCCCTGTAGCCCTGAGCATCCCATGTGACCTCCCTGTATGTGGGCAGATGTGCCCACATGTATGCACATCACAAAAAAACTGCAAGTGTCATGTTGAAAGCAGACAATGCATTTAGTGAAAGATATTAACACAGAAATTTGAATTTAATGAAGACGGACATGCACACACACACGCACACACACACACACACACACACACACACACACACACACACTAGATAGCCCCGTTAATAAACCTGACTCCTGCAGACCTGGTAGGATGAGCTAACAAGCTCAGACAAACACCAATCGTCTCTCACCTCCCTCTGAGTCCCCTCCCTCCGCCCCCCCTGTGAAGCTCAGTCCCATCAAGGCGTATCAGAGATCGGGCATCTCAGTCCTGCCACCCTGATCCCTCACCCCCACTGACCCGGTGTGTGCCCAAGGATCAGACAAAAGAACACGGCGCTTGGCGTGTAAGGGCGCCCACAGAGCTGTCGCTTCGGCACGCGATGTGGTTTCAGTCCCACAGACAGCTTTACTAATCCCAACCAGGCAGTGAGTGCCTTGTCACGCAGGACCCAAAATGGCGGCCAGACAAAAAAGTAGTCCAGCTGACCCCTGAGTGGAGGGGAGTACAGCTGAAGTGGGAGCAATTATTCACTCAGGATGATGAGAACAGTGGTGGCTGGGGGGGGTGGGGAGAGGTTGACACACTCGATTAAAATATGACGTAAATTAAATTTTTTTGTTGTGCAGCACTAAGGCCCAGCAGGGTTTACACAGGGGACAGATCAAAGTGTGAGATAACAAAGGGGAGCCACGATGCAAGGTGACAGGTTAAAACCTACGGGCCAGCGCTTTTAGACTAGAGAAAGAAGAAATTGCCCTCATTGAAAACCTGTCTTCCAAATGAGGGTTCATGCAGGGGGCAGAGTCAGAGAGCACTCCCTCTGAATGTACAGTATGTGGCAGAGTACAGTGAAATGTGTCTTTGTTTTGAGTTCACACATCTCTGACCTCCTTTGCTAAATCCCCCGTGCTCTCCACCGCACACACAGAGGGTGCGAAAAGTACCGCGCACGGTGTTACACACTCTATCGGTTGTGCGAGACTCTTGCCAAGGCGGGGGCCAACAGGAGGGGAGGTGTGAGGAGGCGGGAGGCAGAACATGACCTCCAGCTGCGGCGAGAGGGAACGCTGTAGTGTGCTGTGAACACGGACCACAGGGGTGGAGTAGATACGTTATCTCTGCAGTGACAACCTCCATTTCCTCAAGTTTGAGCAAGATTTCTCTGACTTCAGGAATTTGAAATGAAAATGAAAAAAAAAAAAATCTAAGATACTGTCAGCTCTTTAATGCGTTTCATTACCTGTCTGTGTCAGCATTTATCTGGTTTAATCAACTAGATGATATTTATACTACATGTACAGTGTCAGGTCAAGTCTGCACATTGAGCCACCCATGGGCACATTATAAGACAATGGGCCCCTGGACACAGATATGCAAAAGAGACCCAACCAGCAAAGGAGCAAGACACACAGACTTTTTGTTTTTTGTTTGCCACTTTTTTTGTGGATTTGTGTGTCTTTGTAGTTGTTTTTCTCCTTTTTGTAGTCATTTTGTGTGTCATTGACGTTGTTTTGCCCCCTGTTGTAATTATTTTATGTCTCTTTGTGGTTGTTTTGTGCCTTTTGTAGTCATTTGTGGGTCTTTAAGGTTGTTTTCCCCCTCTTTGTAATTGTCTTGTCTCTTTGTGGGGTTTTTTGCACCTTTTCGTAGTCCATTTTTTGTCATTTTGTGGTTGTTTTGTGCATTTTATGTAATTATTTTTCTGTCTCATTGTAGTTGTTTTCCCCCTTTTTTTATAGTAATTTTGTGTGTTTGACGTTGTTTTGCCCCTTCTTGTAATTATTTTGTCTCTTTGTGATTGTTTTGTGCATTTTTGTAGTCATTTTGTGTGTCTGAGGTTGTTTTGCCCCTTTTTGTAGTTGTTTTTTGTCATTTTGTGGTTGTTTTGTGCCTTTTTGTAATTATTTTGTGTCTCTTTGTAGTTGTTTTCCCCCTTTTTATAGTCATTTTGTGTGTCTTTGACGTTTTGCCCCTTCTTGTAATTATTTTGTCTCTTTGTGGTTGTTTTGTGCCTTTTGTAGTCATTTGTGGGTCTTTAAGGTTGTTTTTCCCCTCTTTGTAATTGTCTTGTCTCTTTGTGGGGGTTTTTGCACCTTTTCATAGTCCATTTTTTTTTGTCATTTTGTGCATTTTTTGTAATCATTTTTCTGTCTCATTGTAGTTGTTTTCCCCCTTTTTATAGTAATTTTGTGTGTCTTTGACGTTGTGTTGCCCCTTCTTGTAATTATTTTGTCTCTTTGTGATTGTTTTGTGCATTTTTGTCGTCATTTTGTGTGTCTGAGGTTGTGTTGCCCCTTTTTGTAGTCGTTTTTTGTCATTTTGTGGTTTTCTGCCTTTTTGTAATTATTTTGTGTCTCTTTGTAGTTGTTTTCCCCCTTTTTATAGTAATTTTGTGTGTCTTTGACGTTGTTTTGCCCATTCTTGTAATTATTTTGTCTCTTTGTGGTTGTTTTGCTCCTTTTTGTTGTCATTTTGTGTGTCTTTGAGGTTTGAGTCTTCGAGATTTTCCCCTTTTTGTAGTAATTTTTTTCATTTTGTGGTTGTTTTGTGCCTTTCTGTAGGCCCATTCAGTAATCCATCCACGGAGCCACCCACTTATCATCCAACATGAGTTAAATCCTTACAAAAATCCAAGTCTCAGTTATCAGACCACACAGTATCAACCAAAAATAAATCCCAGACACAACAACCAGTCATGTGTCCATGTAGAGTGTCATTTTTGTGGATTGTGTTTACTGTCTTGCAGGGTCCTTTCAGACACTATAATAAGGATTCTGTTTGATAAACTATAAATCTTTATATTCTCTTCCTTCTCTGTAGATGCTATGGGGCTGTCAGACGTTGCCCACGTGGAGAGCATTCAGGAGAAGTCCCAGTGCGCCCTGGAGGAGTATGTAAGGAACCAATACCCCAGCCAGCCCAATCGCTTTGGACGTCTCCTCCTCCGCCTGCCCTCCCTGCGCATCGTCTCCTCTCCGGTCATCGAGCAGCTGTTCTTTGTTCGCCTGGTCGGGAAGACGCCCATTGAGACACTGCTCCGCGACATGCTGCTCTCAGGCTCCAGCTACAACTGGCCGTACATGCCCGCTGTGCAGCGCGACCGGCCCATCTCCCTCCACTACAACGAGAACGGGCCCTGAGGCGGAGAGACGGACGAAGGAGAAGCTGCAGAAAAGGCTGAACGTCCATCTGACCACTCATCCATCCATCCATCCATCCATCCATCCATCCTTCCTTCCTTTCATTCTCTGCATTCTCAGCTCCCTCACCATTCCGCTCAGAAAACCCCGACTGACGATATAATCAGTTCCCATCCAGGTTTAACAAGCCAGCCAATCGTTCAGACATGGCCACTGCAGAGACTTGGTGGGCCGCTGCAGTCCCTCAGCCGACGGTGCAGTCTACATGTGAGACGTGGCACGAGATGGACACGTTGGTAGAACAGGTTATTGCGCAGTTCACCAGCAGGTCTGTTGGACTCACTTCAGATGTCAGTCTCAAACCCCCATGGAAACAGGGGCAGCAAAAGACAAAACATTCTGCGTTACTGTTGGTGCTACACCTACATTCACAGAGGCTGTGTAAAAGCATCACAGTAATACTGAGCAAGGGCTTTGCCTATGGAACTCTACAACCAAGAGCACAAGGCCCGTTGTACATTTACCAATTTTTGAAAAGAAAGCCAGAAGCCATTAAAAAAAAAAGAGAGAAAAAGACAAATGCCAAAATGTCTTGGACTTTTGCAGAGGACATGTTTTAATGTGTGTGTTTGTATTAGCACTGTTTATATGGAGAGAAAAACTCATGATTGTGTCCATATGTACAGTATATCGTTGATTCATAGGCATCTATAGCATATTACTGGGAAAAAGCTCAGGTTCAAAGGGTGGGTAGAAAGACAGACATGCCAATATCAGTACAAGAGCAAAAAGACAAACCCAGTAAAATTTACACTTATCAGCAGCCTGTGCCAAAGCTGAAAAAAAATGCATATTTGTTTGGATATTTTTGTGGTAATGTTGGTGATTTAAAAAAAAAAATTAAAAAAAGTAATGTTTGGTTTGTCTATAATTTGACTATGTTTTGGGTCTCAGGGGGAGAGAAGGAGTTTGTAAAGAAAAAAATACAAATAAAAGCGTAGGCACTTGCATCGTAAACTTGTCAAAACCTACACTTACTCCTGTAAAATCACAGCACTGGTAGATTCTTGCTACCCTTATGCCATTTGATTGACTTACATTTATACTTTTTCAAAAGGCCTGTTAACGCTCATAACATGTCGTTATCACAGGAGTGACACAACTCATCTGTGTTCTTGTTTTATTGTCATGATTGTCAACATTGGACCTTTTGGACTGGGGGGGAGCATTTTACAAAACTAGCTGTACTTGCCTTAGAACAAAGATTTTGTCACTGAGCATTTATCTTATGACTGTGCCATAATCTCTCGTTACCTGTTATAACAGGTATTATGTCCTGTCAGGAGAGGAAATGAACTCACATGATGTAAAAATTAGTAATGTGTGCGTAAAGTGATGCAAAATACAAAGATTTTAATGCATCAATAGAAAGAACAGACATTTCTGCTTTAACATCACCAGCACTTCCATTTTTTAAACCTCATGCGAGCTCTTTTCCTCTTCCTGATGATATTGTCATGTAGGGAAAACCCCCTCGACTCATGTCATTTGAGCTTATTGTATACCGATACCGTAGAGAACAGTATCACTAACCTCTGAAAACCTCAGTCTATGTTACAATATTATCCCAGTTGGACTTATGACTGTGACTTAGCGTAGGACTATTTTAAGTTGTTTTTTTTCCTTCCCCTCGGTGGAAGCGAGTTTGTTTCGACAACCTGTCTCACATTTCCAACATGGCACTGTGGTATTAACATTGGCATTGGAAAAGCCATCTGGGACCTTAGAAAGCAGTCTGTTGATACGTGAATTCACAGAAAGTTCCTATGAGTTTGTTTTTATCCCCTCTACTTTTGTTTGGAAATATGGATTATCCATTAATTGAAATAAAATTCTGTTGTTCACAGTAAGTTTTCTGCCGTCTTTTACTGTCACGTGACTCACAACAGCACAGAAATGTGTTCAAAGCAGCACATAAAATGAGTATTGGATCAGTGATCGGATGTTTGTTTCTCCCCTGAAGTTTTTCTGGACACAGATTTGTGCCTTTTTAGTTTTAAACAGAGAGCCAAATATTTTCTGGTCTAGATGTTCATCTTTTGTACTTGTGATGCAGCCACATACTCAGCAATACGTTGGAAGATCTCCAGCTGTGAGTCAGGTAACATTATCAGTGGGAAAAGTTCGACGGAGCTTCATGTCCAGAGAGGTCACAGTCTGCACTCGGTTGAGACTCTGTAGGACAGTGGTTCCCAACTGGTCCATCCACAGGGTCCAGATTTCTCCTTGGTCATTAGCACATCCACACAGTTTCATACAATCAGCGTCACACTTGCATTCGGCCATATTATTGAGCTAGTTTGCTGTTTTTGTCAAGTAGCTGTCCATTAGTCACTCTACAGCTGGAAAGAACCAGAAATTCACTGTACTTGAAAATACAGTGTGTCATTTACAAACTTAACACATTTGCTAGTCACTTGCCGTCCATTCAGAGTGGACCTGGGACCCACTTTTGGTCTGCGACCCACCAGTTGGGAACCACAGCTGTAAGAGATACATATTGGGTTTGAACAGTACAAAAAAGTCAGAGGTGGGACCAAGTCATTGTTTTGCAAGTCACAAGTAAGTCTCAACTCTTTGTGCGCAAGTTCCAAGTCAAGACGGCCAAATCCTGAGTCAGTCCCAAGTCCTAAACTTTGAGATTCAAGTCTTAAACATGTCACAATACGCTCTTTAATAAAAATTATACCAATATTAAATTTACAAATATAATGAATGCTTTTTAAAATTGCATTTATTTGCTTAAACAAGTTTGTAGCTGTTAAACTAATGATAGCCAAGCATTGGTGTGTCCAAACTTTTGGCCTGTACTGTATGTTTTGTATTGTGTATATTGTGTTTATACAGTGTATATATATGTGTGTGTATATCTATATCTATCTATAGCCTATAGGCTATATATACACTGCTCAAAAAAATAAAGGGAACACTTAAACAACACAATGTAACTCCAAGTCAATCACACTTCTGTGAAATCAAACTGTCCACTTAAGAAGCAACACTGATTGACAATCAATTTCACATGCTGTTGTGCAAATGGAATAGACAACAGGTGGAAATTATAGGCAATTAGCAAGACACCCCCAATAAAGGAGTGGTTCTGCAGGTGGTGACCACAGACCACTTCTCAGTTCCTATGCTTTCTGGCTGATGTTTTAGTCACTTTTGAATGCTGGCGGTGCTTTCACTCTAGTGGTAGCATGAGACGGAGTCTACAACCCACACAAGTGGCTCAGGTAGTGCAGCTCATCCAGGATGGCACATCAATGCGAGCTGTGGCAAGAAGGTTTGCTGTGTCTGTCAGCGTAGTGTCCAGAGCATGGAGGCGCTACCAGGAGACAGGCCAGTACATCAGGAGACGTGGAGGAGGCCGTAGGAGGGCAACAACCCAGCAGCAGGACCGCTACCTCCGCCTTTGTGCAAGGAGGAACAGGAGGAGCACTGCCAGAGCCCTGCAAAATGACCTCCAGCAGGCCACAAATGTGCATGTGTCTGCTAAAACGGTCAGAAACAGACTCCATGAGGGTGGTATGAGGGCCCGACGTCCACAGGTGGAGGTTGTGCTTACAGCCCAACACCGTGCAGGACGTTTGGCATTTGCCAGAGAACACCAAGATTGGCAAATTCGCCACTGGCGCCCTGTGCTCTTCACAGATGAAAGCAGGTTCACACTGAGCACATGTGACAGATGTGACAGAGTCTGGAGACGCCGCGGAGAACGTTCTGCTGCCTGCAACATCCTCCAGCATGACCGGTTTGGCAGTGGGTCAGTAATGGTATGGGGTGGCATTTCTTTGGGGCGCCGCACAGCCCTCCATGTGCTCACCAGAGATAGCCTGACTGCCATTAGGTACAGAGATGAGATCCTCAGACCCATTGTGAGACCATATGCTGGTGCGGTTGGCCCTGGGTTCCTCCTAATGCAAGACAATGCTAGACCTCATGTGGCTGGAGTGTGTCAGCACTTCCTGCAAGACGAAGGCATTGATGCTATGGACTGGCCCGCCCGTTCCCCAGACCTGAATCCAATTGAGCACATCTGGGACATCATGTCTCGCTCCATCCACCAACGCCACGTTGCACCACAGACTGTCCAGGAGTTGGCGGATGCTTTAGTCCAGGTCTGGGAGGAGATCCCTCAGGAGACCATCCGCCACCTCATCAGGAGCATGCCCAGGCGTTGTAGGGAGGTCATACAGGCACGTGGAGGCCACACACACTACTGAGCCTCATTTTGACTTGTTTTAAGGACATTACATCAAAGTTGGATCAGCCTGTAGTGTGTTTTTCCACTTTAATTTTGAGTGTGACTCCAAATCCAGACCTCCATGGGTTAATAAATTTGATTTCCATTGATAATTTTTGTGTGATTTTGTTGTCAGCACATTCAACTATGTAAAGAACAAAGTATTTAATAAGAATTTTTCATTCATTCAGATCTGGGATGTGTTATTTTAGTGTTCCCTTTATTTTTTTGAGCAGTGTATATATAGTCTATATATATATATATAGCCTATATATATATATAGTGGGATATATATATATATATATATATATATATATATCCCACTCTGGGGTTGAGGTGAATAAAAGAACTGTGTTGTGATCTAAATAACATGCTGTTGCTATCTGCAGAAAGTATTAAAGCATGAAATCCCGCATTTTTAATGTACGAAAGCATCCTGTATCATAACTACGTGTGCCGTTTGTAACAAACCAAACCGCGTGAAAATCAGTTGAAAATTCAGTGAGTTATTCTATTTTACTTGTGCGTACAGCTCCTTCCTCAATAGAAGTGAATGCACTGTGGAGGCAAAGCGAGACCCATCCAAGATGGCGGCTGGCGAGGACGTCGGCTCCAATAGGCAGCGGCAGTCAATGCGGTGTCTATGTATATATGTCTATGGTTGGCGCCTTTCTTACAGTTGATGGTTGGCGCGGAGCTCCCTCTAACGGCTCATTCTCAGGTAACGAAAACACAACAGTTGTTACTGTCAGGTGATTATGAATTAAAACATACTTACGAATATTATGTGCAGTTTCTGCCCATATATCCCCCTGAACTCTACACACTGGACCTTTGCACCACCCGGCCAGGACGCTAGGCGACCCAAATCAAACACATCTAAGATGTTTGAGAACAGGTAGCTAACAAGCTAAATGCTAACATGCTCCCATAGTTAAGCTAACTTCTGAAAACCTTTTGAAACTGCGAAGCGCAGCGGGACAAAGAGGCCGAGAGTGGACTGATTATATTTATGGATTAACAATGAAGGAGCAGAAGAGTTTAACTGGAGCAGATGGGGAGGATTTCATGATGCTCAGGACACTGAGAAAGGTGAGTACAACAACAAACATGGTGATGTTAATTTACTGTAACTGTTACAGAGAAGTACCTCCTGCAGCTGCTGTTGAGTTCATAGTGCCTGTGTTGGTTGCCTTGCAGATGTTTTATTCTTCTGTATAAGTGGCAGGTTATTCACTTAATGTAGTCTAATACCACCGCTCTTTTCATTTATTGTTGGTCATTGTGGTATAACTGTTAGATTTAATAATCTTTTCTGCCTAAGTTTCTGCTGAGGAAGGTGGTTTGTGGTTATGTAATAAATAATAAGGGGTATCAGCAGGCTGCAGGTGTCCGTCTAAGAATTTAAGAACTAAGAATTTAAAGTTAGTGTACCAGTTGTGGAATGTAACTAGACCTAATACATTTACTCTAGTACTGTATAGGGATGGACCATACTGGATTTGTTTGCCGATATCTGATATGCTGATATTTAACAACTCATTTGGCCGATAACCCATACTGATATGGATAAATCCATATATCATAGAAAATTATGCAACTTTATTCTTTGAATCCCCTGGCTGAATATACCTCTCTATCTGTATGCTTGTACCCTGGCTCTTTTAATCATTCAGCCACTACAAGTAAGGCTTTTTCAGTAATGCCGTCCTTGTTTTCTATGTTTTATGTGTCTGGATCGCCTCTCTGTGTATCATGTTGTTTCCTTTTCTCCATGAGCACCCGACACAAGGTTTTGAGCTACCTGTGATTATACAGAGCAACCAGTTGTCTCTCTCTAAAAAAAAAAAGTATATCTGTTCTTCATATTGGCAGCATGTTGGCCGATTCAGATATTTCATTTTAAAGCCAGTATCAGCCGAAGCCCGATACCGATGACGTGGCAATATTATCGTGCATCCCTAGTACTGTACATAGTACTGCTTTGTTGTACTTGTACTTGCCTACTTTTTAAAATACTTTTTGTATTTCCTTTTTGTGTTACTCCACTTCTTCTGTGCAAGCTTTGGAATTAAAATAGAAATAAAACAAAAACTTATGATGTATTATTATGCATTAAGCTACCCAACAGAATATAAAATAATTATAATTACCCATACCTTTATCAACTTCAACAAAAAAATTAAGTACACATTAATGTCACCCATACTTATAATCATTATACATTTTTCTGAAATTGGCCAGTCTGCATAAGAAGGACTTTTACTTGTGATACGTTGTATATATTTTGATGCTTGTATTTTTACTTGTATTGGAGTATTTTTACACTTTTGCACTGATATTTGTACTCGAGTAAAAGATCTACATATTTCATCCACTGCTGTAGTAAGACATCAGACACTCAGTGGACAGTTTACAGTTGGCATGTTTATGAATGTAACGCAGAAACATTTACTTAAAGTACATTTTAACTTACCTACTTTTCTGCTTTTATCTGAGTACTTTTACTCAAGTAATTTTACTTGAGTAAATTATTCTTGTGCTTGTTCCATGCCTGTTCAGACTTTAGAAAGCTCCACGCAGTCACCAAAGATGTCATTCAGC